TCCCGGACCCTGCCGGCACAGCGGGGCTTCGCAGAGCGGAGCCGAGCGGGACCCCGAGGGCTGTCCCACCGAAACCCCCCGGCCGCGACGTGTCCCTCGCCCTCACCTCGGCCCACGCGGCCCTCGAGCGGGTCCTTGCGGAAGTGGATGCCGTTCACGTCCACATGGGCATCGCCGCCCGCGTTGACGGCCCAGACGACGCTGTCGGCGATGCCGCCCGCCGCGCCCCGCAGCAGCAGCGGCAGCAGCAGCACGGGCGGCAGCAGCGGCGCCCCGCGCGCACCAGCGCCCACCATGTCGCGCTCCCGGCGCCGCGCCCGCCCCTTCCTGCCGCCGACAGGGGGCGGCTTACCCCGCTGCCGGGGCGGGACGAGCGCCGGCCAATCAGCGCGCCGAAACGAGAATATTAATTACCTGCCCGCCTGCCATTAGACATCTGAGGACCTGTATCTGCATATTCATAAGGCGGCGGGCCAATGAGCGGCGGCGATGGGCGGGTTGGGCTGAGCGGCGCGGAGACAGCGGCGGGAGCGGCGCGGGGGGCCGGGTCCCTGCGGGCTGGGGTGCCCCGAGTCGCTACCGCCCGCGTAGGGAGCGGGGCGGGTGTGGAACCGGCTCCCCCAGGAAGGAGCGGCGGGGACGGACGAAGCTCCCCAGCGCCGTGTCCGCTTCGGGGACAGCCCGGCGAGCTGGCTTGAGCGCCGGCCGCCGGTGGGCAGAGCCCGCCCCTCGGCGCCGCCAATCGCGGTGCTCCAGCGCGGCGGAACGCGGAGCACGGTGGGGCGGCGGCGGGAAGCGCAGACAGAGGGTTGCCGTGGCAACGGGCGGCGCTGCGGCAGCGCAGACCGGAGCGGACCCGATGTGCTCGGGGAAGGGGCTGGAAGCGGAGCTGGGGCAGCGGGAGCTCCAACGCCGTCGGGGGTAGCTCCGTGCCCGCCGTGCTGTGAACAGCTGCTGCCCGCCCGGTAAGGAGCGAAGCGGCCCGTGGCGTGCCAGCACCTTGCATATGCCTGGGAAGCAAAGCGGTCAGTGAAGGGGAAGGCGGGGAGGTGACCGTGACACTGCCAGCAGGCTGATCCCTGGTTTGCACTTTATAGGAGAATGTAAAATCCCGTGTTTGTTTTCCGGAGGACCTTGGCAAGGTCTTGAGTGGCTGGAGTGAGATATCCCAGGTGGAGGTCGAATGAAACTCACTCCCTACACAAAGGGGGAACAAATAACTTAATGTTTGCCCTTCTGTCTGATCACGGTGTTCCTTGAGGCATCAGATACCAGCCAGACCTCAGGGCTGTGCTCCTGGCACCGGCTGCATTAGCACTGGCTCCTTCTAAGTGCCAGTGATGTTTTATTAATTCAAGTCTTTCCCAAAGCATTTGCTTTCATAAATAAAGACTTGGTGCTGCAGACTGAGAATTAAATGTATTTGTTGCTTTTGTAATGCACCTGTGGGCCTCCTAACCAGACACTTCTTGGAGAAGTGAACTGTTTGGCAAAATGTGTAACCACCCAGCCCCTGTCCCCAGTCTGCTCTGCCCAGGTTGGAGTGGACCCCAAAGCATGTTCCTGCTGCTGTGACATCAGTTCTTGGGCTCATGGTATAACTGGGCCAGGACAGACATGGCACTGCTGCACTCCCACACCAGCACTGCTGCCAGGAAGGGGTTCCTAAAACTACAGGGTGCCTTAGGAAACCACATCCAGATTAGTAGCATGAAATGTGTATGCTTAGCACCTCTCCAGATTCAGCCACCTCATGCTGATTCCTGGCAAATCATCTCAGCATTACAGCCCCCAGCCCTGGCAGCAGCATCTGATGAAATCCAGGCTAATCTCCTGTATCCCTGCTGTGTTTGTGACCTGTTGGGTGTCCCCCATGTTCTGTTACCAGAGGAGTGCAAGCAGCCGTGGCCAGGACAATGCTGTCCAGTTAGTGAGGCCGAGGGAGGCCTCGTTAGAGCTCATTTGTGCTGATTACAAATGATCCTCCCTAATCCTACACTTTAAACTGTGATGTGTGAATCAGGAACACAGCTTTGAAGCACATAAACACTATGTGTTACCAGGTGTCCCCAGGGTGAGCATTTTCTAAAACTAGCTTGGATGATCATTTCCCAAGAATCAGTAGTGCATCACAAAGCAAGAGAGATTAGCTGAGCAGCGGCGAGGAGGGACAGTGGCTGTGCTCATCTGGGGGCAAGAGGAGCCCTCCCCGTGGCTCACAGGCTGGTCACAGCTCCTGGCAGAGGATGGCAGATGCTGTTTGGCCTGTGGTGCTCTACACTGCTGCCCCGAATCAATACTTGCCTTCACACCAGCAACTTGATGCTAGTTTGTGCCCCAGATGTCAAAAGCTCCATCCCGTTACTAATCCACTGAGCTGGCAGTCAGTCCCTTGATGCAGGGTGGATTTACACCAGTAACCTACAAGTGAAAGGCTCAGGGTCATTTTCTCAATCCCTTGATCTCTCCCTGTCCCCTGGCAGCTGTGCCAAAATGACTGTCTTGAATCTGTCCTGCCTGGTCTACCTACCACCCTGATTGTTCATGAGCAACGAGGAGCACACGTTTAGGGTATTACCATTTCCCGCTGGAAAATGGGATGAGGATTTGGGATGTCCAAAAAGAGCAGCAAAAATGTATGGGTCAGAAGCAGGCCTCATGGCTAATGAGATATCTAAGAAATCAGTGTGAGCCAACCCTACTGCCCCATAGTCCTCCCAAATGGCACAGGGCTACAAGGCTCAGGTGCCCTCAAGGGACCAGCTGTGCCCTGCCATGCAGAGCTCCTTGAAAGCCTCCCTCGTACCAAATTGGAAATAAAAGCAAAAGGATTATCTCTGGAATTAGATTATTTAGATTGGATCTTTAATCTCTGCCCCTGTCTACTCAAGAAAATAGTAAAACTCCCTGGGATTATTTGGGGTTTGTTGTGAAAGTAAAATCAGGCTAGCAGCAGGAACTCAAGAGCTTCGGCTGGAAGAAAAAAAAAAAAAAGGCTTTTGAGACCTGCCCTTTCTGACCTGTTCACTGTATCATGGTGACACCTGGCAGAAAAGAGCTAAAGATGATTTGGCAGACTTGGCTTCCCTCAGAAGTAGCTGTGGTTCCAAGACTGCCTCTGCAAAGACAGAAAGGTGTCCTGCAGCCAGCCTTTGCCTAGTACTCTTGGGATGACAGGCACAGCTCTGCCACACTACAAACACAGGGACCTGCTTACGCGAAAATGGCCGTAACTTGCAGGGAAGATGCCCAGCAGTGATGCTGCACTGTGGGTCAGTCCAGCCTCTAGACATGTGGTAACCATTTTAAATAAAGACTGTCCTGCCATCTGATGCTGTGGGCAAAAGATGTGACTGCTCAGGGCAGGGTCTGGGAAGGAGCAGAGGTGGCCAGCACACTTGTGGCCTCTGACTATCTAGTGGGCTCTGCAGGCTGGCTGTGGCACAAGGCACATACCCCGAGCCATCCCCAGTGCCCACAGGCAGGCACAGCAGTCTGCAGCACACAGGCAGCAGCACAGCTGTCCTGCTCCACATGCACAAGCAGCTCCTTCCTCAACAGGCTCCACTGTAAGTGAAGCACAGTTGTGTATCAACACTCCTTTGGCAGACACAAGCCTGCACACGGCTCCCCCTCCCCAGTATTACCCTAAACACATTTATAACGTACCAGGACTCTGGACTCTGTTCATTTTATCACCCTCATCTCCAATAACACCCTCAACAATACAGCTGCTGAGCCAGTAAATGTGGAGATCTGTAAATATCCATTTTCCAATTTCTTGGCTCACACCCACATTTCCAAGATGGGACCAGCTCCATAGATAAACACACACAGTTTGCATACACACACTTGCATACAAACTCTTCTTTTGCTGCACTCCATGTACCTATATCTGCACGCCTTGATTTTGTGTGCATACACCCAAACCCCTCCTAGTGCACACACCTGTGCAAACACAAGTAAACATGCACACACACACACAAATACAAGGCGAAACATAGATTTTCCATCACTGGAGCATCAGCCATCACTACAGCTATGCCGTTTGGTACAGCAATAGGAAAGCAGAAGAGAAAATCCTCATTTGGGACATGGATTTGTGGACCCCAAAAATCTGAAAGAGAACCTCAGAAGTGAAAGTTGGAGGAAGCAGAAGGATATTGGTCCTTAACCTCCCAGTTTGAGTAAGGAGGTAACCAAGAGGAAAACAGCTCCCAGTCGCACCAAGAAATACACAGTGATGATGCCAACTTTGAAGCCAAGCAGAAATGAATCCTGGCAACTTGTGACTGAGCCTTTGCATAGAGAAAGGAGACAACTGTAAGTCTGGTAGAACAGGGGAAGGGACTGGTAGGTTGGGAGCATCTTGGGGAAAGGAGGATAAGATCTGATGTGTCTGGAAGCAGCTGGTAGGGCCTGGAGGCTGCTGTTATCCCTGCTGGAGACATGTGCAGCATTCCTGAGTGTGAAGAGGTTGGAGAGCAGGGCACTGCCACACAAGGAGGCTCTCAGCCAATCCCCAGCACCAGTGGAATTATAGCTCAGCTCCCACAGCATGCCCCCCCCATACATGTGCTCACAGTTGTGTTTAAAATGATCTGAAAAGGGTGAGGTTGGGTATTGCTTCCTATTCCCTTCCCACCCAGCTCCCCTCTGGGCCCTTTCTCCCATTGCTCCTTCCCACGATACTGCTGGGGCTCTCACCCGTGCCCATGCCAGCAGACGGGATGCAGAGATGGGGCCCTTCACACTGCCCTCACTGTGAGGCACCTCCAGGCCCCTTGGCCATGGGGACAGTGAGAGAGAGAGCAGAGTCGTGACACAGACTCAGTGGCCAGCACTGACTCCCCTTTCTGCAGTAAGGGCTTGCCTCTGGATCCCAGTGCAGACTGGGTGTGCATCTGCCCAAGCCCTTCTCCCCCAGCCCGGCCACCACCTCTCACAGGGACATCCAGGCTCCACATCATTTCAACGTGCATATTTATCACTTTCCCCCCGCAAGACATATATTTGAATTTACTCTTGGTAAACATAACCACGGGAGATGCAAATAAGTGTTGGGGAAGCATAAATAACTCCACACAGATAGACACACACTGAGACAGCAAACACAGACACGGTTCACCAAGGGAAACCAAGAAGTGCAGAGCACGCCCTGAGGCTGCCACCAGTCCCAATGGCTTTGCTCTCATCCACCACGCCAAGAGGATTTCTCCTGCTTTTGCTTTGCAGCAGCTGGTGGGAGAATAAAGCTGGGGAGGAGGAGTCTAAAGTTGCAAATATCCCATGAAAGCATCATGGCAAGTCCTGGCTCTGCAGTTTCCTGCAATCATCTTCAAGGAATGGTTCCAGTTGTAGGAAGTTGCAAGTCTTTCACAGTGTGAAAGGGTGGAGGGGCATGGGGACCACCATGAGGGAGGAGCAGCAGGTCATCTTGCAATGTCCTAATTGCAGCCAGCCGATAAACCTTCATGTAGGAACATCGGGGCTAGATGCTCCATCTAGGTCCTCTTCTGCCCTCTCTAAGGTGCTGATTCTTCTTTAGCTGAGAATAATCTTCAACGGGACATCATGCGAACAAACTCTGCAACCAACAACACAAGACAGCCCTGAACCAGAAGGCACCCATGGTCCCCAAGGCAGCTCTCATTCACTGGAGACAGCAAACAGCCAGGGTGAGACTGGGAGTCCCCAGGCTGCCAGCTAAGTCTGTGTGCCCTGAGACTGGCCCTGAGAGCTCACACAACATGGGCTTTAATCCTGGCATTAGACATGGTGATAAGATCCCTCTAGCAGGTCAATTCATTGCCTTGGACTCCTTCCCAGCCACCTATGGTCTTGTTTGCACAAGCAACTCTTTGTGCAACACTACAGGAAGCATTGTCTCCCTTCACTGTATACTTCAGGGAACCTTGATTTACAGTTTTGAGAACACAGTATGATTTCTTAGTAAATTTGCCACTTCACAGAGATACCAGTGTGGGAAAGCATGAGAGTTTTGCTAGATACTGGCATTCTTGTAGAGAAAAGTTTACTTTAAGCGGCTTCTTGTTTTTAAAGATACATGTTAACTGTAAGGATACCCTGGATCTATTTCTTGACTACCCTGCAGTTTGTGGAGTCAATTGCAATTGTTCAAATGGAGTGTAAATGCCATCAAATATAAATGTGTTTTCATTCTGCACTTGAATTGCTGAGGAACTAACGACTCTGCAAAGAGGAGGGCAGTGGAAATTACCCCCTTGACTTCTCCTTTTCCATTGATGGAGGTGTCCTTTGACAACTAAAGTGGTAACTCACAGAGTAATTGATACTGGGATAGCATTTCATGTATTTCAGCTGTCTAACATAATTTAGCTGTGGGAAACAAGGAGAGCTATTGTCATGTAATCAGCCAGTGCATTAGAACAACTGCAGCTACCAGATACTTTCTACGAAGATACTGGTGATATTCTAATATTTTCAAAGTCCTCAGAGGCTTCAGTAATCCTGAGGACTGAGATGCCTTGTCATGTAAGAGACCCAGGAATGCTGCTGAGCCAAAAAAATTATGTCAATTTTACTTTAATTTTATAGTTCCTGTACTTCACCCTTACTGCAAAGGGACATCTGGATTTCTACCAGGGAAAAAAAGCAGCCTGCCACACTCACACCTTCCAGCTCTTATATCTTCTTAGGTGTCTGATATCAACTGCTTCCTTGCCAGAAATGCTGGCCCCTATTATTATTGCTTTTGCCACAGCTAATGGCTAGGATAGCAGCCTAACCACTCTTATTTTTCAAAGTCCTTCTGGCATGCAAACTGTGAGAAGAAATTAATTATCTCTAACATGACACTTATAGATCAGATATATGCAGTCTTAGTGAGTACAGCTGGCATGTGACCATCTTCTGGCATAAAGGCCAAGAAACAAATTCTCTATAAACTCATATAACAAAGGTGAGCCAGAGGAAATGGAAGGTGCAATGCATTCTCCAAAGCAATCCAGACACCTCACAGCCTTTGCAATAGATTTAAAGAAAGGAAAATGCCCCATAAAACAATGGCAGGCACAGCATATGTGCATCAGGATCTGCTTCTGTATAACAGGTTCTATTTCCTACCATGCTAGAATAATGGAGACCCAATCCAAACTGAGATGCAGCAAGAGATGATACACAAATAAACAATTCATCTGACTGAAAAAACTGAATTATTTTTTCTCCATACTTGAGAACCCTGGGCCCTGAGCATGCAAATCTTCCACTTCATCTTCTGATCTGCAACTGACTCACACCAGAGCAGATGGGCAGTGAGCGTTGATCCCTTCTCACCTTCAAAATCAACACGCCCATCTCCATTGAGATCCACGTCCCGGATGATCTCTTCAATATCCCGGTGCCCCACCTGCTGCCCTAGAAGTTTCTTCATGGCTTCTCGCAGCTCAGTGGTGCTGATCTCCCCGTCACCATTGGTGTCAAACTGCAAGTACATGAAAAATACCAGCAGGGGAAATACAGTTAATAGCAACAAGATTTTGCTTTGAGTTGGCTTTTTGTATTGTCCTGCTCCTGAGAGCCCTATATTTTCTCCATTCCTTCCATGTCCCTCCTTTTTATCCTTTGGGTGTGTTTTGGAGTCAGTCTGTCTTTTCTGTTCAGAAAACCCTTGCAAATGCTGTGTCTGCACCAGCTTTTATCTTCCTTGCTTCCAGAGTTCCCTTATCTTAGCAAAGTTCTCTGCTTCTCCCTTATTCCATTCCTGACTGGGCTCTTTCTAGGTCTTCCACTGTGCTGCTCTCTCCTCCTCCTTTTCTCCGGTGGGTCTTCTCTCTATCCTGTCTTGTATTGCTCATTGTATGGGGGCACGCAGAAGAGATCACTCACCTCTCTGAAGGCATCACGGAGTTCTTTTACACCAATCATGTCTGCGGTCTCTGCTAGAAGTTTTGGTCCCATCAGCTCAACAAAATCTTCAAAATCCACATGGCCACCCACTTGGGACAAGATAAAAGATTGTGTATAAGAGCTCCGTAAGTTAGCCAAGACCGGCACTCACTTTGTATTTCTGTGTGTCCCAGAGAGCGCTTGGCCCTCCAGGAAGCAAAGCACAGAAGGTGTGGGACAGTGGAAGGAAAAGCAGAGGTAGTAGTCTATCCTGTATTTTCTGGATTATGGGCTGAGCAGAATGAGCCCAAGCTATTCCATTCTAGACTGCCACGGACTGTCACACCCCTATTGCACCACATAGTATGTATCAGAGTGCTCTGCTGCGCCTGTGCCAAAGGGCACAGCAAGGGCACAGCATGATGTTCCTGCAAAGCCTGGGCAGTGCCCTGCAGCAGTGGTGCAGTCCTGCTCCATTGCAGCAGCTAATGCATGTCCAACTGTTTATTCATTGTATTAGTTCTTTTACTTGTTAGTGCCCTGAGAACTGTCAGCAACACTCTCAAATTCCCAAGCACTCGTGTGCCAGGGTTATCAGCTTTTGTGTGTGACTGGTTACATATGTCACAGCTGTTTTCCTTCCCCTGACCAAGTAACTTGTCCTTTTAATATAATCCTCTGTCAGAAACAACATGCACTAAATATGCTTCTCCCCACCTGGCTGAGGGTGATACCTTGCACTGCCACAGATGAGAGGTGACAGAAACGACAGTGAAAGACAAGGGCCACAAACACAAGTTGCAGTGAATCAGATGCATTTGTCACATCTTTCCATGACTGCAGCAGATGCTTCCATCCAACACTGCCAGCACAGCTCGCTCACAGCCCATCCCCAGGCACACAGCAGATACACAAAAAACCACCACAGAGCAACAGCCCATCCATCACCCATCTGAGCAAAGCATCCCCATCTTCCCAGGCTTGCTCTTCAGTTTGACACCATCTGACAACAGCTTCAATGTGACAACACACAGAACCTGTGCACCAGTGCCTGACTGCCCACATTAAGGGCAGTTTTATACCTGGCAAGGTAAGTATGAAGGACAACCCTTCCACCCACTGTTCCCATATACAGTACAGTCCACACAGTCCCTTTGATAGCCAAAAACAAAGGCATCGACTTCTAGGAACCACAAACAAACAAACAAACAAACAGGAGAGATGATAAGGAGTGAAAATCAGAACCAAAGAAGAGAGGAGAAAAATCCAAAGGAAAAGAGGCAGCCAGAGACCAAGAGGGCCAGAGGCAATGATGCAGGGCACAGCAGCAACAGGCAGGTACAGCTGGGTGTGTATTACTCACGGTTCATGTTGATCTGCTGGGAGAGCTCTATTAGCTCCATCTCAGTAGGCATGTAGCCCATGGTCCGCATGCAGTTCCCCAGGTCCCTGCAGTTAATAAACCCATCCTTGTCTTTATCAAACTCCTTAAAGGCTTCTCTTAATTCTGTGGGAATGGAAGAACAATATTGTCAGTGACAGCTTGAAATACCTTTTCCAAGAAAACTCCCCAGAATCAACAGCACTTTATGAAGCCAGACTCTCTAAGATACTCAGTATTTTCCCACCAGACCTCACTGCATGAGGCAATGACTGGAGCAAAGTTAAGCTGTTCTGTCAGCAGTGCTGCTGACCCATTCCTGACAGGAAAGCTTGCTTGGACTACGAGTGTCACAAATGCTTCATTGCTAAACAGTGCTCCCTAAAGAAACAGCAACTATTAAGTTTTTCCAACTTTTTCCTCTGCACTCTATTATATACCCCTCACTGTAGGGATTAGCAGGTAAAACAGCTTCCTTGGAGCCATACTGTAGCATCATGCTCCACAACACTTTCTGTGGGAGCTGGAAGGACAGCAGTTTCCTAACAGCCAATATCCCATTACTTACTTATCCTCTCACCCTGAAGAATATGGAATGGAGGCAAATTTCTTCACAGTCAGAACTCTTTCCGTTTTATACATTATTTCTTTTGCTGTGGTTTGCAGGACTTATTCCAGTAATCATCTCCCTTGATTTGCCCCAAATTATTTTAACCCATGGGGGCCATGGGTTAAAGGGCCAGCCAATAGGTTTTCAATAGGGAGAAAGAGGACAAAGAAGGAGCAACAAATTTTACCTTCAATTTCTTCCGGACGCAGTTCTCTATCCTGCAAAAAGAGAACATATTATGTTCAAGACATTTGTTGGCCACAAACATAGTTTCAAAATAGCACTTGCTGGTACAAAGGGTTCTGGAACAAGCCAGAAAGTGAGAGAAGAAACAAGAAGGTGATGACATGTTTAATACCATCTACCTAGGAAGGCTTCCCAGCTTTCCTTCCCGAAGAGAGGGGTGTTAACATGCACACATTTCTCTGGATGCCCCTCTCCCTCTCATCTGTGGACAAGGGGATGACGGGTGGTCCCTGAACAGAATAGACCTGGACCAACACAGCAAGATTTGTGGCTTCTTCCCTGATGGTACTATTGGCACCTTCATGAAGCTGCTTCATCATTCCCCAGCACCAAGTTCTGGAGCAGAGACTGTCCCTGCAGCAGTTACAATCTCCTCTGGAGCCCTGATTGTATTTCTACTGCTGCTCCCGCTGACACACACAGATCAAAGCAGCTGGAAGCAGTCCTTGTAACCAGCAGGTCTAGACCATCATCTGCTCAGATCACTGCTTGATCTCTGTCCTTCTGGCAGGACAGAAACAGCCATGAAGTCTCTCACAGTCAATGTCTCAGTAACATCTACAGTCTGTCCCCATAAAAATGTAGGCATTTCTCCCTTCCCCCCAGCCTCAACTCCATATATAAGCATTTTGAAACCAGTCATGAAGGCAGACACACAACACATACATCATCAAGGTCATCTACAAATGAAAGAGGACAAGGATTCACCATGTTCAGGAAACACTGCAACTTCAAACATCCAATCTGAATTCCTTGGAAGAAGGGGGAGGATAGAAGAGTATAGGAAAGTTCCAACACTGCACCAGGAAGAAGAGATGAGCATGGAAATGCACTGCTTTCTGGTTTAAATGCCCTTTCTAATTCCTCTCATGGCTCCCAGGCAAATCCAAAACATCTGAGAATTTGGAAACACAGAAATGCGATCTCTTTTGTTGTCTCGCTGGCTTTCCCCTCAGCTGTGGGGAATTTCTCCTTGCCTTCCAGGTGTCCTCCAGCCTCACCACATGTGTCTGGAGATGGTGTCTTTGATCAGTTTGAGAAGGATGATCCTCTACTATTTAACCACAGGCTCCTCTGGAAACTATAATGGTAGCTGCTCAGAGTGCATAGCAAACTAGGACACACACGGGTTTACGTCTGTGCAGAAGTGGGCTGTGCCAGAGAAATGACCAGCTTGCCACTCATAACCTTCCCAGAGGCATCTCTGTGCTGGATGGAACTGTCAGAGCGTGCTGGCTCTGCTGTTTCATCCTTCACAGACCTGGTATTTTCAAACATGTCATCCCATTTGTTCTGCTTTCATCAATACCAAGTAATAAAACAATTCAAACTCCTGAGACCGGATGCAGGAGGCATAATTGCCCTCCTGCCTTAGATAAAATAACAGAAGAAAACCACCCACGATTAGTTCCAGCACCTTGTGCACTTTATTCCAGCACCTGCAAACCCTGATCCCTGGAGATAGTGGCTGGGGGCACAGCAGGTGCAGGGCAGTGAGCGCCAGCGCTGCAGTGTAAAGGGTGCCGTGACTCACCCACAGTAGTCAGTGCCTTGTGAGAGTGGCCGGGGTAGGACCCGGGCCCTTCCCCAGCACAGTCCGCACAAGATCATCCTCCTCCTCCTCCTCCTCCTTCACCGAAGACCACATTGCAACTGACATCGCTAACACTTGTCAGAAGTGGGGGCTTCAGCACCGGCTCTAATTTTGCACACCAAAGAATTTGCGTTTGCCACAAACTGCAAATGCAGAAGGAGGGGGAGGATGTCCCTCCAAAAATCTGACTCAAGTGATAACTAACGTCATGAAGAGGCTTTCTGTTTTAAATTTGAAAGATCCCCTAAAATGATTAAGGAGTAAAATTGCTTGGGATAAAATGGGCTGAATCACTCTAAAGCTTTCGGAGAACATATGGGAAGAGGAATAAAACTATTCCAAGAGCTTAGATATGAGCAGAGGTGACCCCCAAGGGTCCATTATACTTAATGGTCTTACCCTCATTTATTTCTGTTCTATGCACAAGAAATCCTGTTGGCCTAGAGAGTCAGTAAAAGTAAAGCTGTGTATTAGATACACTTATTCTACATCAGGGTACTTAGAGACATCACTAATCCTATTTTGGAGACCTCTTAGGGTACAGTGAGCTTCCATGGCCTAAGCAGGATGGACACTTGTCCAGCTGTCTACTAGGGAGCTGGACCTATCTCCTGTGACAGGTGGCTCTGTGCAGGCCAGCAAGTGTACTTGTGCAAGAAGAGTGCGTTTCCTGTTTTAGTGAGCTGGCACACGGACTATGTGATCACCTAGTGGCTGAAGGTTAGGAAGAACAAAAGCCCTTTGATCAATAATGACACGTAATTACCCTTTTTTTGAGTTGTTCGTTGAAGCAGAGTATTCAGAAATAGAGACCTACATGTCTCCTACAGCTGTAGATGACCATATCAACACACAAGTAAAGCAGAGGTTTCTTACAGAAGCAATAAACCTCTGTTTCTGAGGCAACTGAGGTGAGCTTTGTTTCACCACAAGAACATGGAAGGCACTGGGATGAATATCTGACAATGCACATATTCACTCATACATATCCATAAAAAAATGTGTTAATCATATGTTTCTGTTTGTCTTTAAATTCATGTTATTGTAGAAGTAGAATGTTTGGGGGCAAAAAATATGTTTTAGTTATTGCAAAGACACAACATTGGGGTGCATACATACAAGCATATGTTTTTATTGTTTGTATATAAATGCATACACTGGATGCATATGAACACCTAGTTACAATAGGTGTGACTTAATGAATAGAAGTGGCTCTGCTATTTCTCTCTCTCCCTGTGGGAGGGTAATATAGCATTTGGTAGCCTGGCACTATTTGCATTTATAAGGACAGCCTGATGTTCCTCCGTTTAACTGGCTGGGATTGCTGCAGTGTCAGGCTGGGTATGTCAGTGCACAGGAGATTGTGCTTGGGTATCTGTGGGGAGGCAGCTGACTGCTTATTTCTGCTGGTATTAGTGTACTCACTGTGAACTGATAGGAACAGTGTCAAACATGGACAGCTTGTTCCCAATACAGATGCCCTGATTTGCATTTAACTGGCTATTTAGGCTTTAAATGCTAATCTGAGCCTGGGAATGAGAGATGCCTTGCTGCAACAACAGCTTTGAGCACTGGACTCTTCCTGAGTCCATATTATTATGGCTATTTGAGCATAGGCTTGGATCTATCTTCCATAGCTGCAAGTTTAGAATCCTCCTTTCTTGGTATTTAGGCACAAGGGTATCTGTATATCCTTCAGGTTAGACATTTGCCTGTGACTACATTTGCACTTGGAGCTGGAGCCGGGATGCTCGAGATCCAGGGCTGGGAGTAATAAACTCCACGCAGACAGAGCACGGGGGCGGCTCCGCATCCCCGACTCACGTCCACGTGGCTTTGTGCGTGTCTCGCCCCGCTGGGTGTAACTTACGTACAGGCTGCCTGTTTTCTGCGAAGCCCTTCCTCAGGAAGATGCATGCTGGCCCCAGCAGGTTGTGCATGACGGCGCAGTTCTGGGCCAGCACCATGAGCGGACCCTGGTACTCGCCAGCCGACGACCCCTCTTCGCTCGTCTGGACAGCTTTATAGCTCGTCTTCTCGTCATGGCGGATCTTCCCAGCCAACCAGCAGCAAGCAAACAACACAACAGAGGATGTTACCTCCCCATCTCGTTCCTCTGAAGTTTTATTGAACCGCCTCGCAGAGATATAATTGCTAAATTTCTTTCATCTGGTGCGCGCTGCGTCCCCCCCACCAGCTTATTAGGATTTGTACAGAAGCAGTAAGTCCAGGAGTTCACTTTCAAAAGCTGAAAGAACAACCAACCACGAGAATTTCACTTTGAAATTACATCAAACTCTCGGCACTGCTCACATCTACCCAGACAGCCCAAAGTGCCACACTCCCACAATCAGCCCCAGAGTTAACACTGCCTCGAATGAGCTGCAAAGGACGAGCACATCCCAACTTAACAGCACGTGTGCCAGCCCGTGCCCGGGCAAACCTGCCGGCAGAGCCGCCTCGGCCAGAGCATCCCCAGGAGACCAGGCAGAGCCTGCACAAAGCCACTGCACAGGATCCACGTTACTTTTCAGCAGCACAGCATCACACGCTTTATCACGTTATCAGAAGACCGTTTTCAGCATCAGGTGGCCCTGCCAACTTCAGGCTCACGCTGCCTTGTGCAGCTACTAATTACTTACAACCTCAGGGTTTGAGGCACTTACTGCTCTGGCCTCTTTTAATTACTGACAGTCCCAAAGTGGAGATCAGGCACAGGCACAACATTTTTGAGTGTTTGCATTTGCACATTTTCCTAAGTGCATACGTCCTGCTAAGCTAAGGCTCCAGAACAGAATCCAGCACTGGATTTTATAAGAAGGCGCTACTTTCCTTTTATAGAAATGCATTTCCCTGGCTCTGCAAAAAAACTCTTATCCTGATATTCCCATGCAGCTATAAAAAGCCATCACAACCCACAGGACCCTTGGTTTTACAGAATAAACATTAATCATACATCAGATTCCTCTTCAGGAATGATTCTACTTTTACAGCCAGTGTTCCCAGGGGTGATCAGAGAAGCACTGTCACTTGTCATTGTCTCTATTAACTCTTTCTTGAAAGCCTGAGGTACATTTTCAGGCTAAAAGACCAGACACAAACACCCCCCATTCACACTTGTCTGAGACTATTGTATCTACTCGATGTGTCTGCCATGTGCTATTACATTGCATGCATGGTTTGTAATTTGCCCTTTTGTACACAGTCTTACACCAATCTGCTCCTATATAATGTCATGTGAATATCAAGCATCAAAAAAAAACTAACTCAAAAAGCAAGCCATGAAGAAAGAAAATTATGAAGCAGAAAAGTATTTTTGTTGCAGTCATGGATGAGAAAGGAATCTGTCTCTGATTAATTCTGACACATAGGACACTCGTCCTTAAAAAACTGAAAGATGAGCATCCATCCACAAGTGGCATATTACTAGCTCAGCTAAATGTCAAGACATCTGTGTTGAGCTACACAGCTTTGTGACATCAGAGCAATGTATTTTCAAAATTATCAGCTTTATTTCCTGGCACCTTTTACAGTTTAATATACCAAATAATATGAATCACTGAAATACTCCACATCAGTTCTGTGTTTAATTCCAGTGAAGCCATGTGAAGGATGGAAAGCCCCACAGCCCCAAATGTTTGTTTGCTGACACTTCCAGTCAATAGTTTATTACCAAGCTGTACAGCAGTACCTCATAATAGTCATCTCATTATTTTTCTGTTTCGATAAAGGTTGTCAAAACAGTTGCCAAGAGCCACTGAGGACTGTGACCAGACAAACTGTAGCAGTGCCAGAATACCAAGGTGAACAGCTCAGCGAGGCTCCCTGCCCTGCCACAGCAGACAGGATTTATGGCATTCAATCTTCCCTCTGCCAGCAGTCTCACAGGTTCTCCAGCAAATATCCACTCAAATTTCCTTCACCATGTTTCTTCTACATCCCAGAAGAGAGGGTAAGGGATCTGTGATATTGGTATGGGACAAAGAAACATCAACCACCCATTACAGGGAAAACAGCAGTGTGCATGACAGAGAAAATTCAAGGATAGGACTGGGGAGATCAGGCTTTCCCAGTCCCTTCCCTGAGTGCAGGACCACTAATCTTCCTGGCCAAGTCCGGCCCTTGGCTGTGTCAGACCAGCAGATTATGGAGTGGAAAGAGATCTGGTTGATCTAGAGATGGCCAAAGTGGTGGAGAGGTGTGGTAAAGTGAGGGACCTGGATGCCAAGGCTTTTAATTTCTGCACAGCAGAAGCACACCAGGATTCATTTAATTTCCCTGCCTGAGTGTCAGAGGGACTTTGCAGAACAGCAAGCCAAGAGGGGCCTCCATCCCAACTGCAGTATCTCTTGGAGGGAAATGCAGCCAGTCTGGCTTCCACAGCCACTGTGGGGGGACACCATGACAATAGGAAACTGAAGCTTCAAACAACAGACATGGAGTCAAAGCCTGAACAAGCAAGGTACCCTGCAGTCATCCAGACTCAGACCAAGCCAACAGGTGCCTGGGAGTGAATCCCAAATTTTGGGTTGAAATAATATATTCAAGGGTTCAGACTGTCACCCAAAAGCAGCTTCCACACATGTCGTCTGCAGTCCCTCTTCTTTAACATTTCAGCAAAATGAGTTTGCTCAAAAATCTGAAAAAAACGACTGACATCATCTAACAGCCGAGTGAAGTTGGGCAATGTTAAGACTGGTCTGCAAAGTCTCCACTATAATCATGTGTTGCAATCAAAAGAATGGCAGAGTACCAGGATCTGTCAGGATGAGTGCCTTATTTCATATCCCACTAGAGTGATATCTGATAAATTCTCTAATTTAGCTTTGCAACTTTTTCTCTTCAATCCTGACATCCCAGGTCTTGTAACTAGGCACAAAGTGAGTTATTCAAAGCAGCTTTTAGGAAAGAAAGCATAAATTACCTCAAAGACTGACAACACAGAATTTACAGGTTCTTGAATCTATTTTGATTCAAGCAGCCTGGCTCCATGTCAGACTTTAATTGCAATCCCCTTGCACAGCTGCAGCCAACTCCTTTTATTCCAAGTTGGAGATGGTGACCTACAAGCAACCAAGTTGGTTTTTCATACGTGCAACATTTGGGTGAACCTCAGCTCCTTCTACGTCTCCCTGCAGGTCACCCTGACCTAGGAACTGGTCTCAGCACTGCCTAACTGCTTGGTGATGACTTCCCTCATCAAGTATCCCAGCTCCCCCACAGCAGCACTGTGCCATTACTGGCTTTGTTTACAGCAGCCAAGATAACAAGCAAATTGTGTTTCTATACAGAAGAGGCCAACATGCAGCCAAAAGAAACACTCTACGATGGAGGTCCTCTCCCAGACAGCTCCCTCCCAGAGAAGCTTTCCCAGGTGGCAAGGTCTCCTGGATGGAGCATCTTGATGGCAGTGGCATTTCACTGTTGTGAATATCTCCACAGAGGCAGCACCTCATTGCAATATTTTGGATGATCAGCATAACTTTATCATTTATGGAGAATGAACTGCATAGCTTTTTGCTGAGCTATTAGATTTGCAACAATGCCAAGTGAGAACCATATGGCTGACAGGTAAACAGTGCTGTAAGATCTCCCTCAGTCAAACAAGAAATGTTTCTGGGGCATGTCATTCCCATTTCAAACCAGTCCATAACAGCAGAATTATTTCTGAATCTAATTTGTCCATTGCAAAACCTCAGCACAGAGTAGAAGCCTCAGATACAGGTGGCAGCTCACAGATGAAGTCCAGCTGGGCCCAAACATGTAGACACACGGGCCACTCTGATGTGCAGCATGATGCACAAACACACAGCCAGGACCCAGTGTGTCCACTCACAAAGAGATGCACAGACAAGCAGAACAGAGAGAAAAACAGGCTTCTGTACCCAAACATACCTACAAAACTAATTGTGTGAATATGCAATAAAAACAGGTACATGTCTACACACAGACATCTGTGAGGACATGCACCAGCAGGTGAACACACACAGCACCATACAAGCAAGTGCATGTGTGTGATAGACAGAAATTCCCCCCTTCTGCACTCACAGCAAACCTGCTCAGGCACTCAGGATGCCTGCATAGAGACATAAAGAGCTAAGGACACACACATACCTCACATGGGCCCATAGGTCAGCACACTCTTACAGAGCGATGGCAACACGAGCAGAATGTGACCCTTCATGTACATACATGCATATATATATGTATGTATAGCCATGACACACGTGATTACTTAAGCAGGTAACTCTCAACTGAAGCACGTGCACAGGCACATCAAGGTGCCCTGACAGGAGTGTGCCAGCACACTGTGCACATTGACAAACACATGCTTGCACGTACCCACAGGAGGGCTGTACACACACAGTGAGGAGGACACGAGCCTACACACACATTTATTTATACATATTATGGCTCTCAGCATCCTGGACTCTACTGGCTGCACTTGCATGAGCAGCTCTTACAGAAAAAGTCTGGTGAAGAAGCTGAACCCTTCACACTCATCTCTGTGTTTCTCCCACCTCCCATTCTCATCTGCCCACAATGTCACCCATCCCAAGAAGCAGGGCTGGAAATGCACAGCGCACTTTGATTCGGGGAACATACCTTTTTAGAGAGGTTTCTCAGAGGAGACTTCACACAGTTGCCCATAATATGTTGAAGCTGCCTTTCCGGTGGACTTGGTTATAAAGGAACTGAAGCAATTGATCCCATTAAAGGTATTCCTTGGGAGCAAAGCAAGAAAGGCAGCACCAGGCAAATCCAAACAGCTATTGGCTCCTGGGGCTTTCCCTCTTCAGGGAGCTTTTTCTCTCTCTGCCTCTCTCTCTCCGTATTTTACTTTATGTTCACTTTCTTGAAGAGATGAAGCAGGGAAGAGAGGGAGGGGAGAGAAACAGACAGAAAGAGAGGGAGAGAGAGAGGGAGAGAGAGAGAGTGAGTGAGAAGGGGGGAGAGAGGGAGGCGGATGTATAATCTACATCAGATTAATGTTCAAATCCCTCCCACCCCCCTCAATCTGCAGGCAAGATCGTTTCACTCATAGGAGAGGGCTGTTTCAGGGAGAATTAAAACAGAGAGGCAATGCAAGAAGTGATTTCAGTGATGAGTTCCGTGAATCTAGCTAGTTTGGGTCCACACAGCCTCTGAACACTACATCCCTACCCACCCCCCATCTAACTCCTCTCGGCTTTTCAATTACCACAGCACTAGGCTGGCCAGAAGGCAATCCACTTAGGGGCTTGGAGCAGACCACAGCTCGTTTCGGAACAGAAATGGACCATTTATCTGGGTGGGACCTGTTTCAGCTTATAAACACCAGCAGACCTAGACGTGTCTGATTTTTTTCCTGTCACGGTGGAAGCAAGCCTGGAGACAGCAGTCCTGGGACCCTACAACATTCTCAGCTCCAGGACAGTAATATTTAACCACAAGGGAGAGATCTTGAGCCAGTCTTGCAGTGAAGCTTTTCCAGCTATCTGCAAGTAAAAATCAATCAGCAGTTTAACCTGCACAAGTCTGCCAAAGATGGGCTCACACCTGAATCTTAAATCTAAACAGCCCCAGGTTAGATAATGTGAATTAAAGAACTTTGATGTCAGATCCATCCATTCCATTTGCAAGTGCCCAAGTCCTGGAATAAATAAGAGGCACCTGAACCTAGAGCTAGCTCTAAACATTGGACTTTATGCCTGTAGCATAGAATAATCTCTGAAAGAAAAGGGATGCTTTTATCCTGATATCCGAAAATTTTTATCCTGATCTCAGGCTGAGCATAAGAGTACTTAGTCTGAAAAGAGATTTAAGTTCATTAAAAACACATCATCACACTCAGGCAACAGGATCTGAGCAGGATAGTGAATGCACCTTTAGCTATGAAGGCATCACAGCTGCAGCTCCACAGCGATAAGAAGTATGAAGAGCTACCTCCTTCAAATACCTTGGAGACCAGGATGACACTGATCTTACACCCTGTTATGCAGTGTCCTGGTTGGACACTCAGGTGTTGAGCTGAAAGATTTCACATCTTTGTTTGCAAGCGTGGTTCCAAACAAAAGCTTCTACAAAGACTTGCTCCATAGGCTGAGTACTTGCACCACATACTTTTTGTGAAGGAGCCAAGGACTCACTCTCTTGGCAGCTCTAGGGCTGACAGAGAAGGATGAACTGTCAATGTCACAACAAAGCAGGGATTTCTTCTTGCACCCTGATGGTGCTGTGGAAAATTAAGTATGATTCTAAGGTGACTCAACAGTTGCTTTAGAGCTTAGAGGTTTTTTCCACCTAAGGAGATGAGTTTAGGAGTCCAAGTGTGCCAAAAGTCCACAGCTTCTCCAGTTACAGTCACAGACAGAAGTGGATGGCCATAGGGAATGGTGCTTCTTGCTATTCCTTGTACTAATGGCTCCCCAAGAGTGAAGGCAGTGGGACAGCTTCCTCTCAGATTCCCTCAACGCCTTCTTCATTGAATGGCGTGGGTAGGAGCTGCACAAAGGTCCACAGGCTCTCCAAAACAAGAAGCTGCAGCAGGAGATGCTGGAAGACACTCCTTGTCTGCCCCTTGTACCCAGGGCTGACTGAGAGGGGGACAAAGGGGAAGACCTCCATAGCAGAGCCCACCCATGCCAGGCTGGGAAGCAAAACTCTTCCAGAGCTGGGCCTGTCTCCCGCTGTCACAGGAGATGCTGAGGAAAAATACAGTCACTCCCTGGGGGCTGTGCCAGCCCTGGGCCTTGCAGTGGGGGACTTTGCGGGAGGATGCTGAAACTCCCAGCTGCTCTCAGGCTTCCATCTTCAGCCCTATTTCTCTTTCCCCTCTTAAGGCAGCTAATGGGAGGCTGATCTAGCCTCTGACAAAGTGTCAGTCATTAATAATGTCCTCTGTCAGCTGGAGCCATTCCCCAGGCTCCTTGTTTATTGACAAAGTGCTTGTCTCCCTTGAGCAGAAGCTGCCACACAGCGAGTGAGGCGCCTGGGCTCCTTCCCGAGACAAACGACTTCAATTCCAGAGCAGAGAGGAGAGAGAATTGCCTTTCTGCTGCTAATGAATCTCTCCCTGTCAGGAAGCACAGAGGCCAGGAACACCCTGCAACTGAGAATTGCCCATCTCCCACACTGTCCCAGAGAGAAGGAGGGAAAGAAAGGGAGTCAGATATCTCCTGCCAGAAAAATCCATCACAGTTCCCAGACTATCGTGGGACAGCTTTGGAATACAACTGTGGAGTGTGTCTTTTGAGCTCTAAAAGCCTCTACACGAGATGGTCACCCTCTAAATACTGGCTTGTACCAGAGCATCAGAGCCAGCCACCGTGGTACATTGCTGTGTTTACCTACCCTCCAGCTTTTCTTACTTGCAGTTACAGGCAGTTTCAGGAAACGTGCAGGGCAGAGTGAGAGGGCTGAGACCTGCTGCCAGGCTTGGCAGGGAGTTTGCAGTCCAGGAAGGGAAGAGGGAATGAGAGCCCACGTGCACCAGGTTTGCAGCTCAGTCACAATCCTTTGACTCTGTAAGAACGCTAGTGGAGCTGCAAGAGGCCCAAGAGATGCAATCATAAACAATTTTTTTGTCTCCTTATTTGCCCCGATTCTCTTAAGAGCAACTGGGCAGGACACCACAATGTAGCAGACAGCCCCTGCTGAGCTCTGAGGAGGAAAATCTCTCTACAGTGGGATCTTGTTCCCATCACCACCACAGGTAGCTTAGAGATAGGCAGGAAAGTGGAGTTGGCAGAAAGGTCATTAGAAGATTAGGTTAGAAGGAATATATTTTCTCCCATCCTGCAACTGAAGCTGCTGTAAGAGAACGGGATGCTGAGAATAAGTGTGTCAGAAACATTTCTGTGTAGGTGCTGATCTGTGGGTATGCCTATATCTGGGGTAGTCAGTATGCATGTGGGAGGGTTGTACATGCATGTATACTGGTTTTCCCACACTGTTCTTTGTGGCAATCACACTGTTCTTTTAAGGTCTGTGTCTCTGTTGTAAACTTTCCAAAAATCTCTAAGAACTTTGTGAAATGTAAGTCTTGCTGCTGTTCATGCATTCCTCCCTTTCTCCTGAGATCCAAGGTGGAGAGCAGAGACCTCAGGGGATGCAGCTTGGCACAGAGCAAGGTCACAGGAAAGAAGTATTTGGCACACTGACTGACCTGAGCAGAGGGGAGGGAGAAGGCTGGCTGACTTGGAATTGAACAAGGAATGATTTAGGTGGTTTAATATGTCTGGATACTTTAAAAAGCAGCAGTGCTGTGCTTCGGGCTGGCACCTTTGGCAGAAATGCTCATTTCATAGGAAAATGTCAGAACTCCTCATAGCTAATCACTTGGCAGCTTCTTTATTCAGTAACTTTATCCAGAAGCAGCAAATATCCAACAGAAACAACAGAAAGAACAAAATCAATCCAAAACATGTGATTGCTTATCAAACTGTAGTTTTGCTTGGCAAAAATTTTCAGTGGAAGTATGGATTTGTATGGGAACTGTTCAGATGCTAGGCCTGTTTCAGTGCACAGTCCTTCACGTGCTGGAAGATTACATCATTGCTCTCAACACAACATAAATAGTGCTACAGGGCAATGTCAGCAGGTAGTGGGTATTGTATAGTAAAGTAGGGAAAACTCTTTCCTGGTATCTTTTCACTGAAGTCCATAGTTCTACCAAGAGTCCATTAAATGCTACAACATTTAGTATATTAAAATACATCCCCTTGCTTAATTTATCCTAACAGGGCAGGAATTTTTGTTGTACCTTTTCCTATCCCAGAGCAGAGAGTGAACATATGGATTAGCAGCTTTCAAATCTGCTTCCAATAACCCTTTATCTGGCGACTATAGATCTATATTTTACAGAAAACATACAGTTTTACTGTATTGTTTGCTGAATGACCTCAGATGAGCCTAAGCATTTGGATTAGGTAACATCCTCCTGCTGCCAGTTGTCAAGGACCTCATTTTGAAGCTCCCAACCACTGGAACATGCACTGGCACTCTGAACTTCTGTGACTGACTTCAATTTTTTCTTCTCCATCAGTTCTCAAGTGCTTTTGCTGCACATTGAGTTGTGTATTCTAACCTCAAATGAATCTTGCATGGCTCCATGCACCAGTCAGACAAGTACAGGTCCATCTCAAGGGGAGGCACCAGCAGGTATTGGTGGATGCAGTCCAGATTCTCATCTAAGGAGAGGAATTCTGCAGAGAGTTTAGGAACTTTCTTTGCTGTCAGCTGTTCCAGGAGGAAAGTGTTGCTGACTCATGCTGTGCATAATATTCTCCTCCATTAGAGCAATTGGATCATAATCAATCACAAACAACAGAATGTTTATTAAAAAGACCAAGGATATTTTCTATCCCTCTCAAGGTAACAAAGCCTGGACTGCCTGTCAGCTTCTGTTTAGAACAGCTCTGTCTGTAAATAGTTGGCTTCATTTTGCATTAGATGAAAATAGATGGGAATGTGCCTTCTCCTGACACCTTCCCTTCAGATCTGATCCAAGTATTTTGCATTAGCCCAACTTCCAAGTTCCTACACAGAAGATGCATTGGCCAGAGCAAAATGTACTGTGGATATTTGCTGATGATGACCCTAAAGATCATCAATGGGCTACAAAAAGACAAGTACAAACTTGACAGCCCAGAAGCTGCTGTGAGGATTTGTCATGTATATGGAGCACAGAGGTTGTTTAAAATAAACCTTACATGGTTCCTTCTCTTTGCTTCAGAATATGGGAATTTTGTGCCACTCTGTACAACTGTGACTACTGCAAAAGCAGATAATTCTGTCTGGCTCTCTCATCTCTTTGGAAATAAGGGGGCAGGGGGTCGCTGTTTAGCTGGCACACTGAGGTGCTACTGAAAACATGGCTGATCATCAGATGAGCAGAGGCCTGGAAACCAATATCAACCAAATATTCCAAACCAACCCTGCAGCATTACATAAGATTTGCCACCCTAAAACAGAGATCTGCCTCGCTTAAAATTTAAGTAAGGATCTTACAGCATCTTTAGAAGGGCTAAACTGTGTATCCTAGGTCTCTGACTATATCTCAACACAACTAGTCCCTAAGTATCTAAATCCTTTGTGTCTTATTTCAGCATTGGGGTTGCTGGTGGTTTTCTACTTCCTGCCTTCAGCTGTTGTGATATGATGCTTCACAACATTACACGGTTGCCCGTTTCCTTCCAAGTGCAGGGAATGTATTTTTTTCTGAGTGGGATGAAACAATGCTGTGTATTCCTTCCAAAGATGGTTGCAAGATGCAAAGGACTCTAGGGAAAGAATGGGTGGAAGAAAGATTAGAATATTGCTAATGTCTTCATTCATGGAGAGCATTGAGTTCATGGTCTTATGCTGGTGCAGAAAGCTACTAAAAATCTAAATATGACCATAGCTAGGACAGTTCTTTCTCTTTATTTTTAAGTGGGGCATTTGGTTGAAATTTGAGGATTACTCAGGTTCATGGGCACTGCTGCTGTTCTCTAAGGTCACAGGAATGTCAGAGGATTATTGAAAGGGAGCCCAAAGTTAGCTAGGCATCTTTTACTGAATGCACACCATATAGCTGCTTGTTATTGGAAATCAATACCACTCATGGACTCATCAGGGAAAAACAGTTACTGAAGCTGGAATGCAACAAAGAATCACAGCTAATTCAGCTGACAACCTGCAGCAGACCCACTACATCTAAAGCTAAACTTCCCTGACATTATGTTGAAGCCCAAGATTGCATGAAACAAAAATCCAGGTGGTAAAACTTAACAAAATGGACAGTGGACTTACATAAATGATGATGATTAATTTATCACTGAAAGCTTTTTTTTCTCTCCAAAGATAAGCTGAATCTAAGCAGAAGGTTTGTGTATTTCAGTGCATTAGATCATACTGCTGTATATTTCATGAACAGAATATTTAATGAATGTTCTTTTAGTTTGGTTTTATTTTGATGTCTTTCTATAACCTTCTAAAACAGATTTGTTTAAAAAGTAAATCACTGACAAAGATTTATGTTTGCTGGCAGACCCACTTTAGGCATGAGGCTTATTCATTGCCCCTTAGTGATTCTGTATGTCTGGCTCACATCCTTCAAGCTCTTTACCAGGAAGAATCGTGATGAACTTTTCTCCAAGCTGACCAACGGGGGAACTGAGTGGATATGCTCAAGTGGAACAATGTTTCTCTGTGTCTGACTTCGTTACATATAAAAACATGAGACGTACCTTGGAAGGTGTGGCAGGTGTCAGCAGGCAGGTGTGCACGCAAACGCCGAGCGATGTTTTAAGCACAGGATGTTTTAAGCGTGTACAGAGGTGGTTGTGTAGCCACACAGAAGATTTAGCAGAGGCTGCACGAGCAGGCTGTATGTACATAGACAAGACATGTATATGAAGGCTTTTTATGTCAATCTACATGCACGGACATGGGCTGCGGCAACTCATGCAGGGATGGAAGTACGGAAGCTGTACAGGCCCCACGCAGGTATCCGGACCGCTGTGAACACGCAGTTGGGAGCGGCTCTCGCCTACTTCACGGCAACAGTGGGGCTCTCCCCGGCTCTGACACACTCACCGGGCTGCCCAGGGACCGGGTATGCCCCGGGAGCCCAGAGCGCGGCGGGTCCGTGTGTGCGCGGCTCCGCGCGGGCCCCGGGCCGAGGCGGCCGTGCCGCGCGGGGGCGCGCCGGGGCCGCCGCCGCTCTGCTGTCCCGGAGCCCCGCGGGCTGCGAGGGGGACAGGCCGCCCACAGCGCCCATCCCGGGGAGCCCCGGCGGCACGGGCAGCACAGAGGGAATACTGCTGTCCGCGGGAGTGTCCCCTCCCTCTCCGCCCGCGCCCTCAGGGACCCTTCTGGGGCCGGTGTAAGCCTTCAGACGTGCCATAAAACACGGAGGGGAAAGTCGGTGCAGGGTACGGCATTTCTCCGGCTTTTTTCTGCCTCTTAATCTGTGCACCCACGCTCCATACTCCAAGAGAGCCAAAAGTGTGCCACGGGACCAGCATCACTTCGGCGGTCAGTCATGCTAAGCCAGAAGTCTGTTCACCCCAAATTACTGTGCCGATTTAACAGTGTTAATGAGCAGTTTAGTTAGAGACTGTCTCAGTTTGTCACGAGCCCTGACACGCCACTGCCTCATCTGCCTTACAGGCAAAACACAACACGTGAGCACCTGGAAATCCAGACCTTTCACCTTCACCTCACCACCCCACAGAGCGACAAATGAAAGTTTTCACTACTGGCGTCACTGCTCCAGAGCAGACCAACACGGTGCAGCTTCCCTCGCTAATACACAGGGCCAGCTGAAAACTCCCATTACTAAGCCAGGAGCCACTACCCTGGCTGGACTGGCCAGGGCTTCCTAGTTCTCTACGGATGGATCTCCAGGAATGGTCCTCATGCGGTGACTGCTCTTGGGCAAAACGCCCGTTAGAATCAGCTGAAGCCAAAGACATTGGAGGGAACAAAGTCATCTGGCAGAGAAGAAGACCAGAAAGGTGAGAGGCTGGACAAGGCACTTTTTCCCTACACGCTCTCAGCTGGTCAGAAGAGAATGTTCTTGACACACGCTTCCCACACAGGCAGCCTGGGGTCACCTCCTGCCCCAAAATAGAGGCCACGTCCGTCACCCCAGTTTGCTGTAAGATCCATTAAAACCTGTTAAGAACTAAAGCTCAAGAATAAAGGGCAATGGAGCAGGACAAGAAAAGAAAAATTTCACAGGAAATGCAGAAAGGTTCCTTCCCTATTTTAATGGTAATGTGGACACTGACATTAAAGCAGGAATGGGAGATGGTGCAGGAGAGGCTTTAAACTCCCTGTACAAATAGAAATACAAAAGCTCCTTTGGCCACAGTGCTAACAGCAGAACCCTGTAAATATTTCATGATTCTCTACGGCAATTGTTTGACCCCTTTGATCCCCATACTACCAGAGACAATTGACAGAAAACTGTTGGGGAATCACTTCACTGAAAAATTTAACAGTCAGGTAGGGTGTGAAAGCTAAACGGCTCTGAAAACGTTCAGGTCTCACATGGCAGGATCGCTTACAAATTAATATTGCATAGCAAATGCCCGGAAAAAGCTCTTCTTGAAGGTGCCAGCTAGGCCAGCGCTGAGGCATAGGACGAATGAAGCGATGAGAGCCGGTGGCTGGCTGTGCCGCAGTCCCCGTACAGAGCTGTGGTGAGCCAGGTGCCAAGCGGCTGCTGCACCGTAGGCACTGCAGCCACATCACCTCTGCCCCAGGAACGCCACAAAACTTGCACTGCGGTCCTGCCGCCGCCGCACTGCTGTCCCGGTCTCTGTGCTGCTGTTGCTACTGTTGTCACATTAATAAACTACGTCTTGCTACCAGGCTGCCACCTCACCGCCACCCCAGCTGCAGAGGGGTCACCACTCCTCTTCTGTTCCTGAACTGTGATCTGTAGCCACGCTAGAGACACTACAGGACCCTCATGCTCTTCTGCTCTGGGGGGTAATAAGCATGCTCCCTTATGCTTCACAACACAATTTTACCACTTGGTCACTCCAACTCTATCCTATCAGGCCAAAATCACATGAAACATCCTCCCCCACGCTTCCTTTTCTTGCCACTTTCCACTTTGCTGCATTATTATACACACGTTCCTTGCCAACTACACCCGTGAGTCACAGCACTGCTCTCGCACTGCACTGAGCTCCTGCCACTGCAGGGCCACTTTAAAGCACTGCTATCCCATTGTCGCATAAACCAGCCCATACTCACACTGCACTGTCACCAGGTAAGTCTGTGGTGTTGTCCTCTTGCTAACTCACAGCCGTGCTTCCAAAACTATGGCATGGTGGTAATACTTCACTTGCTGCCTTCTGCTACAGTGGGATGCTGCTGTCAGATCAGCACAGCCCCTTGCAAATAGCACACCAGAAGTGATCACTGCTGTACAGAATGGCTCTTGTCTGGAATATTGTATTACTACATCATTAGACTGCTAAACTCTTCTGTCAGGCTACAACACTCCACAATTATCACACCCGTGCACTGCCAAAATCCTACCACATGGCACCAGTATCACATCTCTGCTCTGCCCCAGGATTGCGTTACCACAGCACTGCATTGTCAGTGCCATGTTCTCCAGGCACTCGGAGCTGCACGCACTGCATCCCGACCCAGGAAAAAGTCCACAGCAGAGCGCTCTTCTGCAACTGCCGTGCCGAGCTAGTGTGCAAACATGCCATTAGGCTCAGATGACATCCTGGCTTATACTTAATGCATCATTACACTACCCTACTTTTGTTAATTCATGTACCACTCAATTACAAAATGGTAAAATATCCTAAAAGAGTATTATTAGTGCTTAATGGTATTAGAACATCACTGCACCAATATAGCATAAGCCTAATTAATAAAATATCACTGCATCCTGTATCCTGGCAGTATCTTAGCATTCTCCTGGAGTACACACCCACAGTGCACTATATTGCTGTGCTGGTTATATAAACACGGCGCTTCTTCCTTCACTCTGTCTTTTTTTCTGCACAGCTACAAATCTGTCTCACTCAGACACAACCCTCTAGTCCTGAACTGCTCCTTTTTGCTGTTACTGCAATAATGACATTCTCCATGGAGTCATCCCTGCAATCTTTTCTGTGTATCTGATTGTATCACTGTAGCGTCTGCATCTGCGACCACATCACTGCACCACCATGGAATAGGGTGATGATGTCCCACATCTGTAGAGCTGGAACAAGATATGCTGGTGCTGCTGGACCACAGTGTTCTGCTGCTGAGATATGCATCACTGTGCTCCTCTCCTATGTACTGCAAAATTACTGTTTTAACTGTTTCACAGTGGGTTGTGTGGGCTAGAAAGAAGTTCTCATATTAAATGAATTATCTGCTGAGCTGTTGCTGTCTTCTAATCACAATGTGGAGCAGACTGGTGTTACAGCACCAGCAGCCTCAGACTGCAGCCCTGGACATGTATGTACCTATGACCCTGCCACAGCCCAGGCTGCAGCCTGGGTTCTTGAAGGTGTAAGTCCCTGCCTGTCTCAAACCTTCATACACATTTTTACACAATGCTGGGCATTTGTTTCTTCATTCACAGAAACAAAATTTGTATCATTCTGTGCCACTACACAATTTCCATACATCTTGCCCCTGGGCCTTTATTCACCTCAGGGTTTTGATATCATTACCAAAAAAAAAAAAAAAAAAAAAAAAGAAGAGAGTATCTCTTTCTGTAACCAGCTCTTTGTATATACTAAATTATAAAAAATTATAGTTCTCAATCTTGCCCGTGTACAGGAGGATCTACTACAGCCCNCCTGGGCCTTTATTCACCTCAGGGTTTTGATATCGATATCATAAAAAAAAAAAAAAAAAAAAAAGCTTCATGTATCTCTTTCTGTAACCAGCTCTTTGTATATACTAAATTATAAAAAATTATAGTTCTCAATCTTGCCCGTGTACAGGAGGATCTACTACAGCCCAGTCCTAAAAGTCAGTCCTAAAATCTCCACTAAATTTTCATTCTGTCATAGTTATGTCAAAGAGAGCAAGTGAGAGATGAATACAGAGAGAAAACGGAATAAAAAACACCACACTCCAAAAGAAAGATGCTGGTGTGTGTGTGTATAAGCACTGGTGCAATGTACTCAGTGAAAAAGTGAAAATTAGAATTGAATCTTTCTCATTTCAGTAAAGGACATTGTTCAACACCACAGGTAAATTTTGCTACATCTGCAGCTTTCAGAAGTGTCTTTTGACACTGGAATGCGAGCAGCAGAGCAGGTAAAATAAAGATGCTGTTCAGGTAAGGACTGAGTTCAAAACTAGAGGGGTTTCTATGAGTTCCCACTCACGGCATGAATTTGTTTATATTTCTGACGCTTTGGGGACATACAGCTCCATAGACTTCAAATCTCTTCTTGGATACATTTTCACTTCGCTCAGAACTACAGCGTAAGTCAGAGCCAAGACCACGCATTTCAAAGCCTGGTGCTGGAATATTGCTTTTTGTAACCTGGTTGAGCATCAACCTGCTGACCAGGCTCTTCCTTATTGTTACAACAAAATTTTAATCTCGACTTTGGGTGCGCCATTGGCACAAGGAGGGTATTACTTGTTTTGAGTTAAATACAACTGTAACTGTCTGCTGTTCCTAAACGGCAGATTGTCAGTGAGGATGGAAAAGTGTTGTGCTTTGGAGAGAACAGATGTGTTTTGATTTTTATCTGGAGAAGTCAAGATGAACAGAAGTAGACAACACTCCATATTAAACATACAGGTGTATCACCTTCTTCCACCCAATCACAAAAATTTTTCTAATTCTCTCCATAATCTCAGTCTGAATAGGCTCCCTGCAAAGCCTCCCAAACATGCATTTTAAAAAAGGAAAAAAAAAAAAAAAAAAAAAAAAGAAAAGGTGAGAGACGTAGTTATGGAAGCGGCTTTGCCTCTTGGTAAATCATAGGTATTTGGATTTTTTAAATAAAAAAAAAAAAAAAAAAAAAAAAGAAAGACAAGAAAGAAAGGAAAGACTCAACGGTAACAAACTCCAGAAATCATAACTCTGGTTTAATTGATCATTTCCAGGGCTAGATGGAACTTAGCCACCCAGGCTACTGGCTTATATCTATAATTGTGCTTCTGGAAGATTGCAGTTACATTAATCTCCCCAGAGATTACATTTTCCAGTAACATCCCTAGATGTCTCTAAAAGAAAATTTCAAGCTGGTCTCCCTCTGCCTTTTCATTTTCAGAGGGTAACCCTGTTGGGTAATTTCACTACCAAAAGCAGCTAAAAGCGACAGCTTTGTACCAAAAGAGCTTGCAAACACCAAAAGCATCTGTTCCATTCTAACATAGTGACTGGGAAGGCTTCGGAATTGGGTCAGGATTTTTTTTTTTGTCGTTCTCCCCACTACCTTCTCCTGACAGCTTCTGCCATCAGAAATTATTCATATGCTGATTGTACAGAAATGTACCATAAGGAGATGTAAACAAATACAGCAAAGCAAGGCGGGGAGCCAGAGAGATGGAATCTAATAAGTAAATAGCTTTTCGAAATCCGCTTCTCTGATTGTCACCCTCAGCAGGCAGAGCCACAACTTCCCCCGGCGACAGGGAAAGCACGGGCACTTCCCCCGTCAGCACCACCGAGAGCGCCCTCCGCAGCGCCCAGAGGGGCCGGCGGGCGCCGGGGGTTCTGACCCGCGCCCCGTCCCCGGCGCGGAGCCCTCCTCGGGGCTGGCCCGGCAGCGCCCCGGCCGTGCCGCAGCGCCGGGAGAAGTTCGGCACGGGCGGCCAGGAAGCAGTGCATTTACAGCTGCGGGCTGCGCCCGGGGGCGCGGGGGCTCCGGAGCGAAGAGCCGAAGGTCCGTGAGCCGCAGGAGGAGGGGACGCGGAGGGAAAGCGGGTGGGAAGAGAGGGAGGGGTGGGTGGCGAGGGACGCTTTGCCCCTTACCTGGCCAAAGACCGAGCTGAGCATGGGGTGCAGTTGTTGGATGAGGGGATCCGCTTCCACTGACCGATCGCTGCCGCTGGACTTGGTGGAGCACTTGCTGCTGGATTTGGACAGAGGTGAAGCGCCTTCCGAGAGCTTCAGGGACTCTCTGCTGGACCTCTGCCTGTGACTGAAGAAAAAGTCCTCCTCTGCCTCCTCCCCATCCCTGTCTGAGAGCTGATGCTGGTCCTGGGGGTGACCGTGGCTGGCGTGCGGCGGGAGGTGGTGATGCTGCCTGGATGTCCGCACCGGTTCCTTGCCGCTGCCTCTCCTTGGACCTCCTTCCGCCGGCTCGGGCTGGCTCTCCCCCCGTCCATGTGACAGCTTCCCCGCGCCCCTCGCTCCGTCCTCCCGGGCGCCCGGGTGGCAGAGCGGCCTGCGGGCACTGGGCTCCCCGGGGAGCTGCTCCTGGCTCAGCTCCCTCCCCATCTGCCCGCCTTGTCCTTTGCCGTCCCGGACGCGGCTGCCGCGGGGCTGGGGCTGGCCGCCCGCCGCCCGCCGGCTCCCCGCCGCCTTCAGCAGCGAAGTGCGGGACTCGCTCTTCGCCATGGAGGAGCCGCTCATCGCGGGGCCGCTAGAGCCGCATCCCCGGCCGGGCGGAGCGCTGCCGCTGCGGGCAGGGCTGCGGCGCGCCGCTCACGGCATGTCCTGCGGAGACCCGCTTAAATCCCGCACCGCGGCCCATGTGACAGCACAGACAAAGGCCGCGGCAGGGGCGCTCCGGCTGGGGCTGGCGGGCACCGTCTCCCTCTCCGGGGCTCTCCCCCCCACCCCCCCCC